TGCATCGCGGACAGATGCATTCCATTTTGTGGCACCCGAAAAAGGGGCATAATGCACGAGCCTCCGGGATCGCTTATATAAAGCTGGTTGAGACGCGATGAGATAAGCGCATTGATCTCATACCAGAAATCCAATCCCAATATGATATCAAATACGTTCATGGGGGCAACGGTGAAGTCCGTCAATCCCTGCCAGCCTCCTAAAGCAATGTGCATGTTAGGATCAAAGCCATGAACGGTAGTGGGGAGGGCATTGACGGTCTTCAACAGCGTGTCGCTGGATACAAAAACAAGTCCAAGATCCCTAGCTCGTTCCTCTGTCACAAAATTATGTGTCGCATTTGTGTCCACCATGATGTGCACGTCTTTGCCGTTCATCTTGGCATCGACAAATAATGATTCACGCGTCCTCACACGAGGTGGTTAGGAAGCAATAGCGGCAAGGGTCATGTGGTTGATTAAGGCTATATGATTGAACAAGCCCACAACTTTGTTCTTCCATTATCCCGCACCATTAGCTGGTGCTCCATGCTCCTCGGGTTGCTTGCCAGTTGGCGCAGCTGTTTGTCTTTGCTGCTGGTGGGCTACAACTATTGCTTCTAGTTTGCTCAGTGTAGGGCAAAATCGAGCAACATGAGAAGAGTCTCCGCAAAGGTAGCAAACATCCCTTTGAGCACCTCATCTCTTCTTCTCCTCATAATTCTTGTGGAAGTGGGAAGAGTGGTTGTGGTTGCCTCTGTTCTCGTTGCTCCGGTTAGGAACATATTTGCCTTTACCTCGATGGGTGTCCGTCTTGGGAGCAGCAGCAGCTTGGCTCCAGTTGTTATTTCCCTTAGACGCTCCGGTCCGGAAATCTGACAATGATTCGGCTATTACAATAGCCTCATCTACGGTGTCGATATGTCGCCTTTGCAACTCTTGTTTGGCCCAATTCTGCAGGCCATCCAAGAAACTGAACAATAGATCCTCACTGGTCAAGTTGGGGATCTGAAGGGTAAGTTTGGTGAACTCCTTCACGTACTCACGGATGGAGGATGTTTGCCTAAGCTCCCTTAACTGTCGGCAAGCCTCGTGCACTACATTTTAAGGGTAAAATTGTTATTTTAGCTCCTCTTTGAACTGCTTCCATGTATTAATGGAGCATGTTCCTTTCTCCATATCTGCCTTCTTCCTCCTCCATCAAAGCATGGTGGTGTCATCCAGGTACATGACTGTCATTCGGATCTTGGCAGCATCACTCGCTATGCTCATATGTTCAAAATAAGCATCTAATTGCCACAAGAAGTTTTCCACGTCTTGAGTGCTTCTTTCACCCCGAAATTCTTTGGGTTTAGGAGCCTCAATACGAGTTTCTCGAACAGTGAAGGGACTACACCCGCTGGCTCCTGTGGTCTCCTCTAGACGCAGTTTTAAAGCCTTAACTTCTGCCTGCAGGGCAAACAAAGCCTCAGTGAGCTTGAGTTCAAGGTTGGTTAGCCCTTCGTCTTGCTCCTGAATGTTCCCTTTGACTTCGCCAAGTCCATCAAGGGCAAATGATTCAAGGGAACATAAATTGTTTTCGGCGGCGACAATACGACGGTGCAAGGCCGTCAGACCAGTTTCTACCAAAACCACCCTCTCATCGAGAGTTATAGTTTCTGAAGTTTTGGGTTCCACGTAGGATAGAAACTCGCTATCGAGTGGTGGAGATGCGTCTCTGACCCTACTTTTGTCGCGCTTCCTGGCCATACCTCTCTGTACTTCTAAGTTCTCTTCAACGTGGGTTTCTTCTACGTTGCTATGTGAGTTCTTAGCCATGTAAGAACCTAAGCTCTGATACCAATTGTCACGGGGGCGATTTTTCAAAGGCAGCGTGGGATAACCCTATGAGCAAAATCGCTATCTAAGGCTTTAGTCCTAAAACAATGAACAACACAAATGGCAAACACACGAAACAAGCAAGAAAGCACTGAAAGAAAGAGACTAAGATATGGGAGGCAAGTGCCATTTTCTGTTGTATTTATCAATTATCTGTTGCTTACAAAGAATGAGCCTAATGACTATTTATAGAAATCAAAATGGCTATACAAGGGGAGTGGTTGGCAGGGCTGGCAAGGCTGGCAAGCAGCCTGGTGCATTCCAGCCTGGCAAAGTTGGCAAGCTGCCTGGTGCATTCCAGCATGGCAAAGCTGGAAAGTCAGCTTAGAGGGATCCTGCTGTCAACCATGGCCCAGAATATCAAAGATGCTCTTTCACTTTCGGCTGTTTGTCCCTTGGTGTGCTGACTTTCGGCCAAAGATACTTTTTGATGGCATCTCATGATTTTCGTGAGGCCTCAAGTGTTTTCCCACTGATGGTTGTCCGAGATTTGAGCTCGGGTAAGCCTCGTCGTCACTGGAATTGCGGAAAATTAATAGGTGTGATGGCGGGGCGGTGCACTAGGCAACTTTCTCGCTGATTAATAACTTAGTAGCAATGGTTATGCAGATATTATTTTTCTGTATTACCAAATATCATATTATTTCAAACGAAAATTTATGTTAGAATTATTTTTAGTAATGAGCTCTTCATAGAGATTATAATACACATATTATTATACGGTAAACACAATTACACGATATAGAGATACAATTATGTGGTGATTTATAATAAAGGAACTACAATGCAAGAATTGCGTACCAAGTCTTGAACCCGTTCTACTAATTAATGGATGTATAAGTTCTATTTAAACAAAAATTTAAAATTTTATTAAAAGTCTTACGATATAAGACACCCATGATTTTCAGTTTTACTTAATTGCAAAGTTACTAATTAGTCTGTGGTACTTTTACTGATACACATATTCTTCTTTTAAGTTCTATCACTCTTAAAATAATATGGAGGTCCCTACATGAGTTATACATATATTATTATAATAACCTAAATGATAATTAAACATTATGTTATTAATGCATAGCTTTATGTCGGATTTATTTTTTCTTATGCAGAAAACCGATCTCTCACGACTTACTCCAAAGATTGCAGTCCCCTACTCTGAAAAGTGAAAATAATCCAACAAATGTGCTAAAGAAAGGTATAAAAGGGCAGCCCGGAACATAACACATTCTATTTCATGCAATAGAAATCATTTTTCAACAATTAGTATTTTCAATTCTATACAACAAAATGAAACAAATAAACACATATGTTAGCTCGTCAACAGAATTAAAATTGAAGTCGCTGCATTACAAACAAGGCTTATTATATAATCGATGGAAGAGAAATCCACAAGATAACCTCTCTCTTTTACTATTATTTTTAACTAAAGTTAGAGGTAAAAGTTACTCAAGATTAATTATAGGGATAGCCAAAAATTGGAACGAGTTTAGTTTCGAGATAATGTTAAGAAAATGGACAATAAACATAACTCAACTTCAAACGCTAACGAATGAGGTCAGGGCTGGAGCTAACTCTTTCGTTACGGATTCGGCTGAACCCAATAGTTTTGGTCCAAGTATTTGTCTTAAGAAAATTATTGAATATGTATAAATTATTAATTTATAACTCATTAACTTTAAAAAAAACTAAAATCTTGAACAAAGAAATGAAAGTTTGTACTTTGTAGTCATAATTTTGCCACTATACAAGCTTATGCTACTGCATTACAAACAAGGAAATAGAAATCAACAAGAAGACTCTTTCTCTTTCAACCAAAGAATTTAGGATCATATCCATTGCTAGAAGTGGCAAGAATATAGTAAGCAACAATATGACCAATTGAGCCCCAAGCAAGAACATCAACTATGTTGAAACCAACAGGGTCATTAGATTTAAGCAGACTAACATATTCTTTAGCTCTGGAATCACCAGCTTCAAAATGGCTCACTCCATTTTGCTCAGGCAACCCTTGTTTGGCCACATTCTCTCTTTGGAAATTGAAGAAAACAAATCTTCCCAAGAAAAGTGATAGTCCTGTGCTCAAGCTAATAACAAGAGATGTGTTGAGCTCAGCTTTAACACCAAGATTGCATCTTTTCTTCATGGGTTTGTAGGAATTGACCTTAGTGTTGAGAAAAACACAAGAATCAGTTGGTTTGTTGAGAGGTCTTAGACCTTGAAATGCTGGTGTAGAGAACAAAGAAGAAGCCATGATTACAGCAGAGTTTTTTTTGGAGAAGAGGAATTGATCTTTAATTTGGATATTGGAAATTGGAAAAGTTCAAAGATGAGGTTTATACTCACTAAAGGCTTTGGGAGAAAAGAGATAGATTTTGTGAGGATGGGAATGAGGCAAAGAAAGATTTTGGATGGTGAGTTGGCTTTGCTTCATTGGTTTTTCTTGGATCACAGATTCTTGCCCCAAACATAATCTCTTCACTTTCCATAAACATTTACACAGTCGGATCTTTTAAACAATCAGGTTGTAAGTTTATCATAGATAAATTTCTATGAGAAACATTACTGCTCCCTCCGTTCATTTTTACTTGACACGTTTTGATTTGTATAATTTACCATGCTACCCATATTAATTGATGCATATTTTATTGGATTTGAAAAAATGATTTAAAATGAATAATAAATATCGTAGGTATAACAGGAAAATCTTGATATGCGTAAAGTGACAAGTAAAAATAAAAATCTATTTTTAATATACATGTCAAGTAAAAGTAAACGGAGGGAGTAGATATTTTGATAGAAATAGTAACTAACCTGCTAAAATAAGTTAAACTATATTAAGTGTTAAAGAATATCTAGATTGTTACTGTATATAACTTAAATCCTAAAGTAATATGTGAAACCAAATGAACATAAGGATACTCAGAGAGAAATTGATTACTAGTAAAAATTTTCATTTAAAAAATTCGATCTAAAAGATAGTAGGTGCGACAAGGGGTGGCAAACGGGTGGGTCGGATCAGATATGGGCGGATCGAAAAAGGGTAATGCAAAAAAAGAGACATATTGTCTGATCCGACCCATATTTAATACGAATAAAAAAACAGATTAACCGGCGAATAATATTGATATACATATTATCCATGGCTTCTTGAATATGATCACTTTTGGAAGAATTCTTAATCTCCCACCACCACTAGGTGTGATCGTACTCACTGTTTAGATGGTACATTCATGAACACTTGAAACACTTGATGCAATGTTACTTGATCAATAGACAATGTTAAATTTTACGTGGAGATTATTTTCTTTACTACTGCCAACCAAGCATCACATAAACTTCGAGTGTTGCTCCACCCTGAGTGGAATAAAATGAATTTCTTTTTTAAAAAGGGAGAAAAAAAAAAGAGCTATTGTGAAGCCTTATTAAAGGTGGAAGCAGCAAATCGCTTATACCGAGCTTCCCACCAACAGCTTTGCTTTGTAGTTTTAACTCTTTCTACTGGCGCAGCATTACTGGAGGCTTCTGATCAAAAGAACAAGATCTACTGTGTTGGAGTAACACTGCCGGGTAGCTCTACAACAACCTGATGGTCAACATGAGCAAATCTCAGAACTTATGAGCCACCAAATAATTGTTTATATTTATCATTGAATTCAATATCGACTTGACAAAATGGAAAGTAGGTGTATCCTCTATCTATGAACAACTAAAACGACCTAATCAACGTTCATCGTTGCTTTATGTCGAAAATACAAGAAAAAAGGAAAAAGGCTCACTTCTCAAAATTATGTCGGTACAACTTCAACAGCATCAGGTGACATCTGCAAAACATACAGTCCAAAGACGATAACCAGCAATACCAACTGTATCAAAAAATAGGAACTATACTTGCAGACTCCCTTTTGCAGCTCTCGTGTTTTTTTAGTGCTGGCCACATCATCACAGTAATTTGCCAAACTTTCAGCCTGTGACTTGAGCATTGCAGTCTTCGTTTCTGAATCACCAAGCTTCTTTACCATCCGTGCTTGTTCTGTAGCTAATATCTTCTCTTCTTCCAAGAGGGTAACTTGATCAACTGCTACAGCTCTCAACGTTTGGATTGTTCTCGATATTGCCAGATACTCGATTTCAGCTTCAATATTCTGCTTAAAGAGGCCCTCAAGCTCTCTTTCAGTGTCCTCAGTACTCTGGTGCAAATCATTTCCTGTTTTCTTTTCTTCCTTCTTTGAGTCACTACTTAAGATGGCTTCCAGCTCAGTAACTCTGGCTTCCTTTAACTTAAGCAAGTCTGCTTCCTCATTAAGCTTATTTTGCAACAGTATGACATTCTGCTTTAAGTTAACCACTTCAGACTCCAATGAGTTAAATGAATGTTGCACACCATTCCTGGATTGTGACTGCTCAGATGTGCTCAGTCCAGGAAAATCTGTGTCATCTGAACTGAAATCTGAAGGTATGCCAATATCTTTGAATTTCTGAATTTCTGCAGAGAAAAGAACGTAAATTAATTAATATCAGATAATGATATTTCAAGGAGTAACTGATTTCTTCCGTAAGTATATTGGTAAGTAAAATACACGAATATGATCCACAAGATACATGTAAAAGAATTGGCTACATATCACACAGTTAAGAGGGAATAAACAGCTAGAGAAACAAAAACTAAAAGTGGTCTAAAGAGCTCAAGAACGGTACAAGATCATCATCCCAATTTGCACGCCTTCCTTGGACCAAAAGCAGGTAAAGCTTAAGGACATATTGGCCATTAGGAAAGCAAGGGAATTGGTCCTTAAGCTTTACTCGGTAGTGATTCATAGAATAAGCGGCCAACAAGTCTTTCGCCAAGATAAAAGCCCTTTCGGTCCATAAGAAAGTCAGGACAGTATTTATTCGAATCAATTTACCATTTGTTGTTTCAAAAACTTTAGATCAGATTTATGTTTAATCTGTTGACTTTAAGGAGCATAGAATATTCTGATCACGTTGCAGAAGAGATCTGGTTTAGACATTCATTCAATTTCTTAATCCTTCCTCTTTATAGAATTAATTTAGTATTATGAGAATTCTGAGAGAAATTTTTCATTTTGCCCTTGATTTTATTTATCCATCTTCTTGATTGTTCTGCAGCTTTGCTATTGATACAACTCAAAAACCCAACCCTCCAGATATTCTTTGTATTCTGGAGTTCTTACTTTTTACTCCCTCCGTTTCAAAAAGCATGAACCTATTACTATATGGGGGTTCAAAGAAAGTTTTCTTTGACCATATTTTTTGCAACTAGTTTTTAAATATTTTGAACTGTTAATAATTGTGTTTTATAGTACTTTTTATGTAGTTTTTAAATATGTAAATTTTATTTCAAAAAACATAAAAAATCTATGTCCAAATTCACACTGAAAGTTAGTCAATTTCACCCTCGTACTCCGAAAAGGTTCAAACAAATTGAAAAAGAGGGAGTATTGTCAATCACCAAGGTAACATTTGTGGGAATGGAAAACTAACAGAAGAGAATACTCCAACTCTCCGAGGCATTTAAAACCCCTTTTTTATTGATCAGGACATTTTCTTACCCAAATCTGCCTTTAACTTCGGCTGGAAAATAAATGCAGTTTTAAGTCCCCTATGTCAGCCACTACACATTCAAACTCCTTATCTTCCACACCAACATTATAGGCTATTCATACTATCAATTCTCCAAATTATCTACTCCCCAACCTTTTTTTTATGATCAAAAGAAAAACACAACATTATAACTACCGCGAGTGCAAATATTCTAGTGCTAAAACTACTCCATTTCTTGAGAAAGCCAACAGCGTTCTAGTAGTAAATAGTAGTAACACATTTATCCACCTTCAATGTGCAATGTCAGAATTTAGCTTAATGAATAGATATCAACTCCTTAAAGAGTATAACCAACACTTACTGTACTAGCTACAAACAATGTTAAATGATTACCTAATGCAGAATGAAGAACTTAAAGGCATGTAAAAATTTCTTCAATAAACTTTTTTTATTTTGGTGGCATGATCTTGAAGCAATATATGCATCATAGCCAATACCAAATATAGAATAAAAATAATTAAAAATTCTTGAAGAAGAGTGGATCTAGCCACACTCAGATCCTTCTACTAGGTACATAGCCATTAAGATTATCAATACTACATGATTGAATTTCATGACACTACTGTCGCCTCTTCCTGCAACAATGCCATTCCTAAATTCTAGAACAATGACCAAATTTGTCAAAAACTGAAGCTCAAACTTTGGGGGAAGAAGGGGCGCGTGCCCGCGCAGTGGGGAGGGAGAGGACATTACACATAACTATGCAATAACTGCCACCTTTCTTATCCATTTCTGAATTTGGAATAAACTTCTGACTAAAAAGAAACCTGCTTCACGCAATATATTGAAGAAGCAAAGAAGAAAATAGAAATCATAATCACCCAAAAAAAAATCATACGAGAGAAGTATATATTCGAATTGTTCAATGAAAACTGAAGATCTACCTCTTTCAAGTTTTTCCTGAGCAGCTTGAAGGGTGAAGATAGACTCCAGCAGAGGATCATGATCTGTGGACGACCCCTGGTTCTCACTCCTCTCTTCTTTAACATCCCAGGGTGATTCAGCAGCTAGATCTTCTTGAGTTTCATAATTCTTACCATTTCTTCTGTCTAGACAAGTCTGAAGATCCTCGCTGACTGGCCTTTCTCTGGCAAGAGCTGCATCATTGAATTGTCCATTATTCACTGACATTCCATCTTTAATACCATTAATTGTTACATGATTATTACTCTGCATACAGAGAAAATTGGAGCTCTGTGAGTCAGACTCCATGCTGGAAAGAGAGTTTTCCTTCTCGATTTTGACCCTTTCTCCTCTAGGCTTTTTACTAGTTTCAGCTCGACCCTTTCCTTGATGAGACTTCTGAGCTAAAGAACTCATTTTCTTCCCACTCAGACTCATCTGCCCATTCTTATCAGGCACATAACCATAGACCACAGGGGATTCGTACCTTGCTTTTGGAGCACTGGCTGCAGTCGAAGACCTACTACTCCGATCCTCACTGTTCTCCGAGTCCGTGGCACCAAAAATTAGAGGCCGATCAGCCAGCCCAGGATCACCAATTACACCAAAGGCATCAACTAGAACACCAGGGCTCCTCAATAGTGCATTTGTTGAAGAAACAGATCCATCACTATTTTGGATTGCTCCAGCAGACAAATGCACAGGTTTTGCGGAATTTGCAGCGGCGTTCGACAAACCACGCTTCAACAACTTACCACTGTCTGTGTTACTATCCCCATCCTTGTTCGATTCCCTCCTGATCCTTCTCCATTTCTTCAAGCCAAACCCTTTAGATATCGGTGAGGATTTCACAGGGGGAGGTGAATCCACTCCCTTACCTTTAAATTCATTCGAAATAGGGGTATTAATCTCAACAATACTAGACCCATTGTTTTCAACCTTGTTTCGATCAGGATCATCCAAATCTTGAAGTGTGGTCATTGCTTCATCATCTTCCACAAAGTCAAGCACTGATCTTTTGATCTTCCAAGTCCCACTACAAAAAAAAAAATCTAGGGCTTTAGCCTTTTGGACAACATGAAGAAGAATCAGATCCAAAACGAGAACAAACAACCATCATTCCAGCTCATGGGGACCGAATATATCAAAATTCTCTATTCAATGAATGGACTTGAGTTATATACACTGGCACTGTAAAGATCAGTGGACTTGTGGACTTTAACCTATTATAGCAGGTTAGTTATCATTTTTACCAGATTATCAATTAATGCTTATCAACGGATTTACCTGCAATTAGGCAGTAAGTGACCTGATAGTGAAAAAATTATTTACACAGTTAGTACATACAACTTAAACTCTAAATGAATTACATGGCTTGGGTAAATCCCAGCTAAAAATCAACATAGTCGCGAAATCAAATTTGTTACAGTAACGATAACTAGTTGGATTTAGCTAAAGGAATCATTAATATCTATTATGCTCAATTTAGAACAAAAAATTAATTCGTTATTGGCAAATCCGATGTAAGTAGATTTGATTGTAGTAATTAAATAAAATTAGCGCACCTTTTCCTCCATGATCGTGGATTTGCAGAGAATGGAGATGAATTTAGAAGAATATGGAAACCCTAGAATTGATGTGGATTTAGAAATTTATAGCCACAAAATTCTCAGAACTAACTATTTGGGGGAGAAGATCGACTTGGGGAGTGGGGTAGATCGGGTCGGGTTGGGAGTAGTTAATAATTCTTATCTTTTCAATGATTTAATTATATGAACATAGGAAGGAGTCAGAGTGTCAGACTAGTCACAACATTTTATTTTTATTTTCTTAACTAGTGACATAACATTTGAGTTGTGATTTTATTTAATAACCAATAAATCCTCGAGGACAAATGGTGTCTATAGATAATGAATTCGCCCCTCTATTTTTTTTTTTTATTTAAGGCGGATTCTAGAATTCGTGACATGACATATTACAAGTTATGCTCCTACCACTAAACCAAAGCCTGAGGCATTAGAAATAATAATTTATAGTATTATTCTTTCTATTCAATTTATATTATATTTTCTTTATTTAAGGATATTTCAAAATACTTAATATTGTTTCATAAATACTCAGGTATCCTGTGAAATTAGTCAAAATGCGTGCAAGATGGCCCATATGCCACGGGTATTAAAAAAATACTCAATATTTTGCCATAAATACTCCATCCATTCTAATTTATATGATTGTATTTGATTGGACACGAGGTTTAAAAAAAATAAAGACTTTTGAATTTTGTGGTCTAAAACAAGCCGCAAGAAGTTGTATGACTATAAATCATCTAATCAAGAGTAAAATGATAAGTTTAAAGCTAAATTATTTTTAATTATAGAAAGATATCATTTTTTTTAGAATAGACTAAAAAAAGAAATAACAACAAAATCTCCCGAAAATTCACAAATGAAGTCTGATCTAAAAAGGAAATAGTTTGACATAAATTGAGATAGAAAAAGTAGTACATATTTTGTACAACTATCAAAATACGGTACTTCTTATAACATATCTTTTTCCAATATTGTGGATGACTAATGGTGGAGCCAGCAATTTTAATAATAAAATTCAAAAAAATAATCTTCTGACATAAAATAATTTTTAAACTACCTTTATCATTACAAGAAGATTCAAAAGTTTTATACTATTATTTGCTCTATTTGAGCATACGATTTTTCAACAAAGATTCAATTGAACTTCTTCTCTAGTTGTGGCCCTCAGCTAAGAACCAAATTTAAAACGTTAGTTTAACTTCTTATTATATTAGTGATACGAAAGGAGATATTAAAACAATAATTAAATAGTTAAATTCAGAGAAATATCGTATCAATGTTTAAATTTAAATTCTTGGAAGTCTACTAGCTCTGTAAAACAATATCATTAATTGAAATGAAATGAGCATTATAATTTATATGAATTGAAACGAATTGGGTATCTGTTGATAACTTTTTTTCCTTCTTATAATATTTAAATCAAGAAGGAGAGCCTTGGCGTAACAGGTAAAGTTGTTGTCATGTGACCAGGAGGTCACAAGTTCAAGTCATGGAAACAGCTTCTTGCAGAAATGCAGGATAAGACTGCGTAAGATAGACCTTTATGGTTCGGTCCTTTCCCGGACTCAGTGGCGGAGCCACATACACCAAAGGGGTGTCAACTGACATCCCTTCGCCTGAAAATTACACTGCATAGCTAGGTAATTTTTTTTAAAATATGTATATATACTATATAATGACACTCTTAACTTCTTGATGAGTTTATTTCTTTATGTTTTGACTCCCCTTAATGAAAATCCTGATTCCGCCACTGCCAGAACCCCGTGCATAGCGGAAGTTTAGTGCACCTAGCTACCCTTTATAATATTTAAACCAAATCAACGTGTTAAAGTCGTGTACAATTACATTCACATAACATGAAACGAATTATATAAAATTTTGAGAATTGAGACAAATAAATGGGTGAGATGAAATGAGAAAGGATTGGGTGGAACGTGGGAGAGCCACAACTTTTAATAAGGAGATGAGAACCAAGTGGGACAACGTAGTGTGCTGATGATCTGGAAAACCACATGACGCTAGTGTTGACGAGGAAAAAAAATGGAAAATGATAGTGCAAAATAATCGAAGTGGGGGTAGGGGGTTAAATCTTGGAGTGTTCTATTATTGATGGATTTATTTATTTTTTAATAATCATCCGAGCTAGTTTGTGTATACCTCGATTAAGTCCACAAGTATTTTCTATTTCACCAACAAAGATAGCGGGTAACTTTAAGCACTAAAGCTTGGATAGATAGAAAGAAATAGGCTAATATTTTCACCTCCGCTAAAGTTTGAACCTGAAATCTGATGATTCTCAATCGAGATCGTCCATGAAATCTTCTGTTTGAGATTGTTAGAAAAGAAGATATGGTTTTCGATATTGGGGTCCTAGGGAGTAAATTGATAGGCTATCAAATATTTACGAGTTAAAATAATTTTTCCTTCTTCCTTTCGATTTTCCAGGGCATTTGCGCAAGTGGCCTTTTTTAAGGCCTATTTAAATTTTGTTGCATTCGACTGAGCTAACGGCAGCATGATTAAATAAAGATATGAATTGAACTTAAATAAAGATGTTAGAATTCTTATTGCCAATCCCAACTTGTTTGGGACTGAAGCGTAATTGTTGTTGAGCTAACAACAATAAAATTTAAAGAGTTGCCTCAAACCAGGCCATTCAATGCAAATAATCCCAACTTTTGCAGAAATATGACACTTTTGGGGTGGTCTTTAGTTTTTGAGCCCCGCTTGCCCTATGCGCAAAATTTCAAGGTCAAAAATTAAAAGTGTTGCCCGAGAGGCAAGCGAAGGATAACACTTGTTAAACTTGAAGTTCTTTTTCTATGTCTCGTGCTAGAAAATCATAAACCAGCTCATGATCTTGCCTAAAAACCAAGCTATACATCATATAATCCCCTGAAAGAATGATAAGTTCATATGAATCAGAGGCACTATCTTTTCCTCTCAGTAAGTTATCAAAAAGAAAGTTCCTCTGGACACACACACACACACACACACACACACACACACACATATNCCAGCTTGCCCAGAGCTAGAAAGAAGTTGCTCACTCTACTTTTACCCAGAAAGGGGGGAGTGAGTAGGAGTGACTATCATACAGAAATGAAACTAGTAAAGTAAGATGCTGAAACTCTTGCTTTCATCTCGTCTTTACTCTTCCTACTTGGTGAAAGTGTTGCATTTGCCACATTTCTCATTTCATTAGCTTTCACCCTTTGTCACCAAGGTATAATCATAAGGTAAAACGTAACTTCGATTCATCCAACACTCATGTCAGACTTTTGGCCCATTTCTAGATAGGATTTTGAGAACTTTACATTGGCTTCAGAATGGAATTGCGTACTACAAGTTCCGTGTATAATGTTTTAAGTCACAGATCCGAGCACTGCTCCAAGCGAACTAACTCTGATGTTTAACTCTGATTGTATGAGCTACTTATTATGAAATCATTACAAGTTTAACAATCAAAGAGAACTTCAACTCCATAAGACGGCAATCCAATAAGAGGCTGCAACTGGAAATCAAGAGAAGAAAAGAAAGATTAGAAGGGGATTCAAAGATCTATGTTATTCAATGACCAGTCAAATCCCAAAGATTCACTCGTCCAAATTTGAATCAACAAAACAAGCAAGTAATGCAATTTCCACGATGCAGTCAACAGGATAAAATGTTTTAAAGAGTACGTGATGATGTCTGCATGTACATACACGAGTCCATAACTTAAACCATTCTAGTTTAACCTAATTTCCATGACTAAGAGGTTACATTTGTCAAGAAGTATAAAGTAAATCATAAGAGGTCAAAGTAAAGAAAAGAAAGGCGTGGCACAACCAGCAGAGGCGGAGCCAAGATTTGAAACTTATGGGTTTCGGATTCTAGCCATTTTAAGTTATTAGATCTTAAATTAATAATTTGTAAATATTAAATAGATTTCTTAACAAATACAGAGTTTGGATCAATGTTACTGAGTTCAACCGAACCTACACCTCGGTCTCAGCTTCGCCCCTGGACACAGGTTATGATGCAATGTCCAGAGCCTTTTTTGTTGAATCTGCTTTAGCAATCAACAGGTTTCAGGAGCAAAGTGATTGTTTTTATTTTGGTTAAAACTAAATACAACTGAATCACAACAACTGATACAATTTTGTCAGACTAAGTCAGGCTTCAATTTGGACCCCGAAAAGTTTCCATCAACCGAACCAAGTTAATTGTATGCCAAACACTACTATAAATCTTCCAGTATAGCTTTTCAATCCCTCTGATGACATGTATTTTTTTTTGCAAGCAAATGTATAGACAGCAGAGCAATAAAGGAAGTAGTTGACCACTAAGCTTTCAACAAAGTAGAAGAATTTTCCAATTCAAACAAGAGGTGAAACAGCAAATGAGTAAAAGAAAACCACATTGTTGCCTAACTTCCAACAACAGGGAAGGGGGGAAGGGCGAAGGGTCCATATGCTAGAAACAAGCAAGATCTTGCCGAAGGCATACAATGTTACAAAAGTTGCACTATTAAAGAGCTAGTATTTGACAACTGACATTAGGCTTAGCATAAAGAAAACTTTGTGATAATACATCTCAAGAAAACCTGGGTAATAGCACCTTAAAATGGCTTCCCAAATTCTTGTGTCGGCTGCTCCCAGCCCGTCAGAAAGCCTACAGCAAATACATTCAGCATACTTAGAGACGAAGGAAGACCACAGATACCTGTTATCTTAATTCTCATCCATCAAAAGAGAGGAGCAGAAAAGAACAGACATTTTTGTACATGCTTATGGCCATATAGATGAACATTAATCTGCTAACTAAGAAAACTACAATAGCGTTTTTTTTCCTAATTTTGAAAGAACGTAGTCCTCATAAGTAGAGCAAGCCACTTAATCAACAAATGAAACAAACCTAATGTACTATCCTTACCAAAGGAACATGGTTTTATTTATTTATTTTTCTTTTTTTTGATATCCGAGAAATCCCCGATGGCCAATGGCACACGGTTCTAAACTCGGTGGATAATGGGTTCACCCCTCTACCCTTCTCCACTTAAACACCAGGCTTTAATCTATGGCTAGGATTTGAACCCGTGACGCGCGCCTAACCCACACATCACGCATTGTGCTCTTACCATTAGACCAAAGCCCCGGGGGCTCAAAGGAACATGGTTTTATAATACGCGTAATCAGAAAAAAAACGAATAGCGAAAACATCAATGAATGTACGATACAGGTAAGGATCATGGCAGAACCATGGACAGGTGCGTGCACACACACAACTCAATACAAAGTTCAGATTCAAAAAGTGTTGCTTAGAGATCTTTAGCATACTTATCGGAATTTCTCCCAAGGACATATATATTGAATCATCGTCACCAAGCATGCCCTGAAGGAAAAAGAAAAGTGATTAAGAAAATATACAACAAGGCGTTTTCATAAGCATTCAACAGGAGGTTTTGCACTTTCACTTGTAAGTAAAGCAGAGAAAACTAATCGTAAAATGGAAAAATTGTACAAATATCAGTGCGAAAAATTCACTATGAAAACTATGGCATTAGTACCTCTCCATTATGGAGGCCCATATCATTGTGCAAAGAATTCATATCTTCTGGTAGAGAAGAACAGTTTGCTATATCATTCCCAAGTAATTCCGAAAT